AGGGGGGGGGGGCAGGGACCACCGGGGAAGGAGTGACCAGGAACAAGGGGGGGGTAACCGGTGGATCGCGGTGGGGGAAGCGACGGTAGAAGGAGACGGACTCGTCAAAGGTGACGTCGCGAGAGTGGAAGAAGCGGTGAGACGGCGGGTGGTAGAAGTCCCAGTCGGACGCATCAAGGGGAAAACCTAGGAAGACGCAGGGAAGGGTGCGGGCAGTGAGCTTGTCCGTGCCGGAGGCACGAACGTGAGCAAGGCAGCCCCAGACGTGAAACGCAGTCGCGTCACCAGGGGACCCGGTCCAAAGACGGGTCGGCGAAACCTGCGGCCGCTGGGGGTGCGGCCACAGGCTAAGCTGGTGAGAAGCGTAGCGCACGGCGAACAGCCACAGAAAATGGGGTGCACCGGCATGGATCATGGAGGTGCGAGCAACCTCCATGACCAAGCCGACGCGTCGCTCAGCGACCCCATTTTGCTGTGGGGAGTCCGGCAGGGTGAACGTCTGGGTGATGCCCTCCGCATGAGAGAAGCGATCAAGGACACCTGAGGCAAACTCGCCACCATGGTCGGAGTGAAGACGCAAGACAGGGAGACCGTGGTGGACACGCGCAGAGACAAGCCAGGGGATGAGAGCGTCAGGCACGTCGGCCTTGCGCTCCAGAGAAAAGACTGTGGTGTAACGAGTGAAGTCGTCGACAAGCACAAGGAAGTAGCGCTCGCGACGCGGCCCAGGGACGGGGGCGGGGCCCCAGACGTCCATGTGCAGGGTCTGTAGTGGCGCAGAGGTGGGGGGAAACGAGAAGGAGTGAGGGGCACGGCGAAGCCGACCCTCGACGCAGGGCGTGCAAGGTGGTGCGGGGGAGGAGGGAAAAACGGGGAGAGAACTACGCAGACCAAGGATGAGACCGTGTTGGGACATGTGACGCAGACGCTGTAGCGCAGGGTGACCTAGGCGGTGGTGCCAAAGAAGAGTCGGGTGAGTGAGGGACCGACAGGAGCAGGCAGCAGCAACCTGAGTAGACGCAGCCACCTGAGGGGGGGCGCCAGCCGAGGGAGGCGTGGTGTCCAAGGTGTACAGGCCGGACACCGGGTTACGGGGGAACGTGGACAGGGGGGCACCTGTGGCGGCCTCGGTACAGATAGCATACCGCTCGTGACCAGGGAACGTAGTGGTGACGCCAAGGTCCTGGAGGCAGCCGACACCAACTAGGTTCCTGGAGAACGAGGGGATATGCAGACCTGTGAGAGAGCCCGAAGGAACCGCCGGACAGGGAAGGGTGGTAGAACTGCGAGCGACTACCGGTCCGCTAGAGGGGTCAGCAAGAGAAACGGCAGCAGCAGCAGGGAGCGGCGTCAGGGTAGTGAAGTCGCGGAAGAAGCAACGGGAAGCGCCAGAGTCGAGGGTGAAGGAAAGCGAAGCACTGGCTCCCGGCGATGGGGCGACGGCGGAAGCACCTAAACTAAACAAAGCAAGGGCTCCTACGCCTGACGCAGCAGGGGAGACTATGCTAGGTACAGCGACACTAGACGACAAGGAATAATAAGAAGGAAGCACACTAGAGTCATCAGCATACAGCACATGCAGAGCGGAAACTATGGCATCCATGTCCATGTCAAAAAGCGGAATACTACGACGAAGCAAACTGTGCCAGTACGGGAGGTCTGGCGACGGACCAAAGCGCTGACGAAACAGGTCGTCCAGGCGACGAAAGCAGCGAGGAGTGGTGTGACCGATCTTACCACAAACGAAGCCGCGGCGGGGACCGGTCAGGAGCAGGTACTGGCAATGCACGCCTCCTGAACCACCACCACCCGGCACACCACCACGCGCATGACCACCGCCAGCACCAGGCCACCCGGGCGGAAGAACACTCGCCTGCCTTGTCTACGGCTGCTGCGGCAACGGCTGCGGCTGCTGCGGCTGCTGCTGCTGCTGCGGCTGCGGAGGCGGCTGCTCAGCGGGACCGGACAGGGTCCCCTCGTCCGCTCCAGCACCGGACGACCCGGCGCCACCACCACCCCCACCTGCACCCCCTCCTCCTCCACCGCGCCCAGGCTTGGGGCGGCGAACCTTCCCAAACCGGACCTGTGCTGCAGCAGCAGTCTCAGCCACGGCGGCAGAACCGTCGGAGAAGGTACACTGAGCGGGGGCACAACCCTGAAAGATAGGGACCGGCACAGTGCCGCTCGCCTATGCGATGGAGCGGTGGCGGGTCTCTATAACCGTCAGGGTGTCGACAAAGTCGGTGAGGGTGAGCTCACCAGGGTGAATGCTAAGGAAGCGGTCGCGGGCGGCGGCAAGGCGGTCAGGGAGGCGGGTGGCAAGCAGGTAGAGGGTAGAGGTAATGGGCGGCTGGTGGGTGCTAAGCTGTGCGTCAGTGCAGGCAGCGCGTCAGGTCTCATTTATCGTGCGCAGGTGGGCAACTAGGTCAGCGACAGTGGGGAAAGACGCAAGGTCAAGAAAGAGCAGCGGAAGGATGAGACGACCCACGGAAGCAGCAGGAGGGGTGGAACAGCGCTTGATGACAGCATCTAAGTAGGCCTGGGCGGTAGTGAGGGACCTAAAGCGTGGGCGCTCAGTCAGGGGAAGGGCATTGCTAATGGCAAGCTGGGCGACAGCGTCTCGAGAAAGCCAGACAGAGCGGGCAAGGGCAGCAGCTGCAGTAGACTCGCGCTCAGTAGGGGTGGGGTCAGCGGGCAGCATAGCAGGGGGGTCTGGGCAGGGAAGCGTACCGTCAAGGTGTGCCGAGAGCGGGTGGCCATCCTGCCGCTGGCCAGTGAGGTGACGGCGGAGGTCAGCTAACCAGGCCTCGAACTCCAGTGGCTGGCCTTCAGCGTCAAAGCGAAGCTCCGCAGCCATCATGGGGCTGTGCAGGACGGTACAGGTCGATGCAGTGCGGTGCAGTGTGGTGCAGGGCAGTGCAGTGCGGTGCTGTGCGGTGCAATGCGGTGCAGTGCGGTGGAGGGCAGATCAGGGCGGTACAATGTGGCGCAGTGCGGTGCAGTGCGGTGCAGTGTGGTGGTGAACCGTACCAGGAGAGTGCAGGACCGGAGGAGGCACGACGAGCGGGCCACACACAGCACGGGGCAGGAGCGGCGGGGACCAGGCCGGCGGGGCGAGCGCGGGGCCGGCTGGGACGGCGCGAGGTCGGCAGGGGCGGGCGCGGGGCCGGCGGGGACGGGTCGGCTGGGACGGGTGCGGGGCTGGCGGGGACGGGCGCAGGGTCGGCTGGGACGGGCGCGGGGCCGGGTGGGACAGGCGCACGGGCCGGGCGGACGGGCGCAGGGGCCGAGCGGGCAGGGCGCGGAGGTCGCGAGGGCGGGCACGGGGCCGGCTGGAACGGGCGCACGGGCCGCTAGGGTGAGCGCGAGGGCGGGCAGGGGCCACGAGGGCGGGCGCTAGGGCGGGCAGGGGCCGCTAGGGCGGGCGCTAGGGCGGGCAGGGGCCGCTAGGGCGGGCGCGAGGGCGGGCACAGGGCCGGCTGGAACGGGCGCACGGGCCGCTAGGGTGAGCGCGAGGGCGGGCAGGGGCCGCTAGGGTGGGCACGAGGGCGGGCAGGGGCCGCTAGGGCGGGCGCTGGGGCTGGCTGGAACAGGCGCTAGGTGGCGCGCTAGAGGCGGCTAGGAAACGGGCGCTAGGGGGCGCGAGTGGGGCGGCTAGGAACGGGCGCGCTAGGGGCCGGCTAGGGACTGGCGCGCTAGGGGTCGGCCAGGAACAGGCGCACCAGGGGCCGACTAGGGACGGGCGCGCTAGGGGGGGGGCGGCGGCCAGGAACGGGCGCGCTAGGGGCGCGCTAGGGGCCAGCTGAGGCGGGCGCGCTAGGGGCGCACTAGGGGCCTGCTGAACCGGGCGCGCTAGGGGCGCGCTAGGGGCCGGCTGAAACGGGCGCGCTAGGGGGGGAACGAGTGGATAGGTCCTAGGGCGGAAGCGTGGGTGGGCGGGGGGACCTACCTACTCATGATACCATATCAGAATTGAAGGAATGACTAGAGAGAGAGAGAGTACAGGTGAATATACCCAAGTGTTGTACCCTCTAAGAAATGATCCTATATAGTCTATACAAACATAAGAGCTACACATGTTTGACAGGGAGGTGATTTGTTAGCTCCCTCACACAGACTCATTGGCTGGCCTTCGATTTTCGCGAAGGGCCAGTCAGCTCCCTCACACAGCCCCCAGTACATATTGACCTTTGATTTCGTGAAGGGATAGTAAGCGCCCTCACAAAGCCCCCCCCCCCCCCACCAAGCATCACGCCCTGATTATGGCTGAGGGCCAGTCAGCGCCCTCCACAGGGGTACCAGCGCAAATCACACTCCCCCCAAATCTTGGTATTACAGAGAATCAGAGTCAACCCCCCATATAGGGTTGAGGCATCAGAGTACACTAGTAAAAAACGTATGAAAAATCAGCGTAGGTACAAAAAGGTTCTCTGAAAAATCAGAGTGAGGTACAATAAAAGGTCTTTGCAATCTGAGTACACTGTTAAAATTATATAAGTTATAATTTAATATAGGCTTGGTAGGTTGTTACTGAACCTTTCTGTAGAGGGTACAAACCCCTCCTTGTACTCCTCTCTCTTCCTAATTGATACTCATCTTTCTCGTCAACTCTTCTCACGCTCCTAGATCTACCTTCCGGACGCCATTCCATGGCGCCCTTCCTTCCTTCCTAGCTAAGCTAGGGTCCTAAGTTTAGTTAGTGTCCTAAGCTTCTTTGAGATACACTCCCAAAAAAACTCTGAAAAAAAATCTGAATCAGAGTAAAAAGTATGCAATTTGGGGGCCTGTTCCGTTGCTAGCGTCATATTATCGGGTGCATGCAAAGTTGGAAAATGAATGACATTGGGCAGTGGACAAGGATACTGATTGCTTAGGGCTGTCAACGAAGACATGAAACTGCACATCCAATTGGGGTGACTACTAGAACATTACTTGATAAAGAAGAGATTATTAGTGTGGCGCCTTGGTTTTTTTCAGGGGGGACAAGTGCAACAAAATACGGTGGAAGAGTATATATATTGAGCAGAATCTGCACCAATCCAACCCCTTCCTCTAAACAAAAACCGCAAAATTGGCCTATCCATCCATCCAGCTATGCCTGGTCTCAGCCGCCAGCACACTTTTTTTTATTAAACAGGATGACCCCTTCAAAGCAACCCCAGAAAGGCATCAATTATACTTCCGCCCTACGACTCCCCAAACTTCCACGTCATGCTTTCAAATTCCCAGAGAGGTAGACCCAAAAACGACTGATCTGCAAAGCCTTCACCGAATGATCTGTGGTGAAGCAAATAAGGAACGAGCCCAAATCACCGTGACTGCCTTACTGCTGCCCCTTGTAGCCTGATCCATAGTCCCCATACCCAGCATTTCCTGAATCAAACCAATCACCATAATCAGCCCAATCCGTATTCGGGTTCACATAGTAACCACCGTAGTAAGGCACGTCGTTGCCATAGTCATAATAACCGCCGTGCACATCAGTCCAGTAAGACGGAGTGTACCAATACGGGTTCTGATAATAATAATTCGGGTCTACAGCGTAATGATAACCAGTCCCTGGCTTATCCTGGCGCAACCCTGAGCTGCCTCCTCCGCGCAGCATACGCGGAGCGCTATGCGCGAGACTAGCGCGCTTCGGGCGGAACCGGCGGGAATTCGCAAACTCGTTATCTGGGCCGTAAAAAAGGCGCATGGGGCTGGCGCGTTTGGGGCGGAACCTGCGCGGAGACGGCTCGCGCTGGTCTAGCAGCGGATGCGCAAGGCTGGCGCGTTTGGGGCGGAACGTATGGGGGTGCGGATACCAGCGGCGCCCGTCCATAAAGACCGCGGGGCTGGCGCGCTTGGGGCGTGCCCTCTTGGGACGCGCGAGCGCGGCATCGAGAGTGCCGAGGACGACGAGGAGGAGGATGGCGTACACAAGCGGCCTCATCGCGATGGTTCTTAGAAAGAAGATTTACTACTAATGCGAGGATACTCGAGACTCTAGAATCAGGAAGACACTAGGGAGATTGCGGGCTCTCAAATAATCCGTGGACTTATGTCTGGCTTACGTGATAATGAGCTTGTTCAGGATTCGTGGCCTAAATACTATCATCGTCGACCGCAATGATGGGTTTGGCGTGATGGGGTCAAGGGATAGGGGGCAAGAAGGGAAATAAAGAATTTTCTTGCTGGCGATGGCAGGCGAAAGAGTGAGTGACTCCAACGAAGCAAATCATGAATTCGCAGAGCTGATGAGGCGAATTTTCTGTTTCGCAAGGCCGAAATTGCAGGACTCGGTAAGAGCGCGGAGAACCCAAGGGCCTGCCAGCGTGATTCGCTGGCTTCCCTGGAGTCAACGGGACTGGGGGATGCCGCTGTTGAGGTGGACAAATTTCCCCGAGCCAAGAACGGTGCTGATCTGGCGATTCAGTGGGCTCGCACGAAGCATAGCGGCACAGCACGGTTACGCAATTCACTAGTTTTAATTATAATTTTGACATTTAGAGGATTCCATATTTGATGTTGCATATTCCTTCCATCACCTAATGCATCACCCATCTCCATCTAAGAGGATACAACTGAAAATAATGTCTGTGGAACATGATGGCGTTAATAAGCTGAAGGGCATAACTTACCCTACCATGTAACTTGAATTTCCCTAATTTTGCGCCTAGTATCTTGGCATTTTGCATTTGGAACAAGCATGGCGACTGGTCTGGGTGAAAGTGTGGTCAATCCTATGCTTTATTTGCGTTTCGGACTAACTTTCCCAACTAAGCAGTGTGGTAGAAGTAAGTTTTCCAGGTAAAAATTATAGCATGATGATTGTCTCTATGCATCCTTCGCACTGTGCGTACCTTATGGATGCTGTGGGAAATCTCTTAACATAATGAATTGAGTAGAGTATAGAGTACAGGGTGAGTTTGTACTGTCAAACATATATTGTATATTTTTGTAGACTATATAGGGTTATGCCTTAGGGAGTACAACCCATTAGGTTATATTTTCTTGTATGCCTTGTTTTATATATTCTTTCACTTGAACATGGTATCATGAGTAGGTAGGTCCCGCCCCCCCCCCTAGCGCTTCCGCCCTAGGTCCTAGCCGCCTCGTCGCCCCGCGGCCGGTCACCTAGCGGCCCCGCGGCCCCGTCACCTCGCAGCCCCGCGGCCCCGCGGCCCCGTCACCTCGCAGCCCCGCGGCCCCGTCACCTAGCGGCCCCGCGGCCCCGTCTCCTAGCGGCCCCGCAGCCCCGTCACCTCGCGGCCCCGTCCCCTTGCGGCCCCGTTGCCCCGTCACCTAGCGGCCCTGCGGCCCTGCGACCCCGTCACCTAGCGGCCCTGCGGCCCCGTCCCCTAGCGGCCCCGCGGCCCCGTGGCCCCGTCCCATAGCGTCCCCACGGCCCCGTCCCCTAGCGGCCCCGCGGCCCGGTCCCTAGCGGCCCCGCGGCCCTGTCCCCTAGCGGCCACGCGGCCCCGTCACCTCGCGGCCCTGCGGCCCCGTTCCCCAGCGGCCCCGCAGCCCCGTCACCTCGCGGCCCCACGGCCTCGTCACCTCGCGGCCCCCCCTCCCAGCAGGCCCCGCCTCCTAGCTGGCCTCGTAGCCCAGCCGGCCCCGTCTCCCAGCCGGCCCCGCCTCTTTGCCGGCCCCGTCGCCTTGCCGCCCGCGGCCCCGTCTTCTGGACGCCTCGCCGCCGTCCTCGGCCCCTCTGCACCACGCTGCACCGCCCGGCACCGCTTTGCACCGCACGGCACTACCTTGCACCGCACTGTACTACACCCTACCGTACTGCACCTCCCTCCACCGCATAGTACCGCACTGCACCGCACATCAGTGCTTTCCGCCGCACTCTCCTGCCGAGTACTGTCTTTCTCCTGCTGCTGCAACCATGATGGCGGACTCGGTCCTGCATTTTGATGCTGAGGGGCAGCCAATTGAGTTCGACGCGTGGCTCGTCGACCTCCAGCGACACCTGACTGGTCAGAGACAGGACGACCACTCCCTGGCCGTCCACATCGACGGTGTGCTCCCCTGCCCGGACCCCCCTGCTGCCCTCACCGCTGACCCCACCTCTGCTGACCGTGAGTCCGCTGCAGCTGCTGCCCTTGCCCGTGCTTTCTGGTTGTCGCGCGATGCTGTCGCACAGCTTGCGATTAGTCATGCCCTTCCCCTGTCCGAGCGCCCCCGCTTTAGGTCCGTCACGACTGCGCAGGAGTTCCTAGAGGTTGTTGTTGTGCGCTATTCCACTCCGCCCTCTGCCTCTGTAGGTCGCCTGATCCTGCCCATGCTCTTTCTTGATCTTGCGTCTTTCCCCACTGTCGCTGAACTAGCCGCGCACCTGCGCACGCTAGACACAACCTGGCGCGCTGCCTGCACTTAGGCTCAGCTTCGTGTGTTTTAACCCCCCATCTGCTCTACCCTCTACGTGCTTGCCACCCGCCTCCCAGACCGCCTTGCCACCGTCCACGATCAATTCCTTAGTCTCCACCCCGCTGACCTCACCCTCACTGACTTTGTCGACACTCTGTCGGCCATAGATACTCGTCAGCGCTCTATCGTCTAGTCTAGCGGTACCGTGCCAGTCTCTATCTTTCAGGGCTGTGCCCCTGCTCAGTGCTCTTACTCCAACAGTTCTGCTGCGGTTGCTGAGACAGCTCCGGCTGTGGAGACAGCCGCCGCAGTGCAGTTTCGTCCGGGTAAGGGTCGACGCCCCAAGGCTGGGCAAGACGGATGTAGCGGAGGAGGGGGTGGTGCTGGTGGTGGAGGTGGCTCGCCCGTTGGTAGTACTGACGAGGGGGCTGGGGCTGGTGCCCCAGAGCAGCAGCAGCAGGCTCCGCAGCTGGACCAGCAGCAGCAGCAGCAGCATCAGGCGCAGCAGCAGCAGTGGATGGTCGACCGCCTCTGGCCGGGGGGCCTGGAGCTAGAGATGACGGTGGTCGCAATGGTCGCTCGCGCGGCGTGTTTTCGGGTGGTAGTCAGAGTGACGGGCGCTGCCAGTACCAGCTCCAGACCGGTCCTCGCCGCGTCCTCGTGTGCGGTAAGATCGGCCATACGCCCACTCGTTGCTTTCGTCGCCTAGATGGCCAGTTTCGTCTCCGCTTCGGCCCGTCGCCTGACCTCCCCAACTGGCACAGTCTGCTCCGTCGTCGTGTTCTGATCTTTGATACGGACATGGATGAGATTATCTCTGCTTTGTATGCGCTGTATGTTGATGCTCTAGTGTGACTGGTTCCTATTACCCTATGTTGCCTAGTGTAGGTGTGCCCAGTGTGCCTAGTTCAGGTTCCCGTAGTTCGTCAGGCGTAGGATCCCCTGCCTTGTTTAGCCTAGGGTCCTCCCTCGCTCCTCCGACCTCTATAGCCGCTGCCACGCTCTCCTTCACCCTGGACTTCGGCGCTTCCCGGTGTTCCTTTCGCGACTCCACGACGCTTACGCCGCTTGCCACTCCTACTGCAGTTGCTCTTGTAGACCCTTCCTCCGGTCCTGTAGTTGCCCGTAGCTTCATTATTCTCCCTTGTTCGGCGGTTCCCTTCGGCTCCCTTATAGGAACCTAGTTGGTGTCGGCTGCCTCCAGGACCTTGGCGTCACCACTACGTTCCCTGGGCACGAGCGGTACGCTGACTATACTGAGACCTTCCCTGGTGCCCCCCTCACCACGTTCCCCCGGGACTCAGTGTCTGGCTTGTTCACGCTGGACACCGCTTCCCCCCCAGTTGGGACACCACCCAGGTACCTGCGTCTTCCCAGGTTGCTGCGGCATGCTCGTGTCGGTCGCTTACTCACCCGTCACTTTTGTGGCACCACCGTCTACGTCACCCTGCCTTCACCCATCTCCGTCACATGTCCTAGCACCGTCTTATCCTAGGCCTCCCTGAGTCGTTCCCTGCGCTCCCCTCCTCACCCGCGCCTCCGTGCACGCCCTGTGTCGAGGGCCGGCTCCACCGTCCCCCTCACTCCTCCTCGTTCCCCCCTACCTCCGCACTGCTGCAGACCCTGCACATGGACGTCTGGGGCCCCGCCCCCGTCCATGGGCCGCGTCGCGAGCGCTACTTCTGAGTGCTTGTCGACGACTACACCCGCTACGCCACCGTCTTTCCCCTGGAGCGGAAGGCCGAAGTGCCTGACGTTCTTCTCCCGTAGCTTGTCTCTGCGCGTGTTCACCGAGGTCTCCCTGTCTTGCATCTTCACTCCGACCGTGCTGGCGAGTTTGCCTCTGGCTGCCTTGGTCACTTCTATCGTGCGGAGGGCATCACCCAGACGTACACCCTACAGGACTCCCCGCAGCAGAATGGGGTCGCTGAGTGACACATCGGTTTGGTCATGGAGGTGGCTCGTACCTCCATGATCCATGCCAGTGCACCCCATTTTCTGTGGCCGTTCGCCGTTCGCTACGCCGCTCATCAACTTAACCTCTGTCCGCACCCTTAGCGGTCGCAGGTTTCGCCGACCCTCCTCTGGACCGGGTCCCCTGGTGACGCGTCTGCGTTCCACGTCTAGGGCTGCCTTGCACACATTTGTGCCTCTAGCACGGACAAGCTCACTGCCCGCACTGTCCTCTGTGTCTTCCTAGGTTTCCCCCTCGACTCGTCGGACTGTCAGTTCTACCACCCGCCTTCTCATAGGTTCTTTCACTCTCGTGACGTCACTTTTGACGAGTCCGTCTCCTTCTACCACCGCTTTCCCCACCGTGGTCCCCCGGTCACTCCCCCCCAGTTCTTGGTGCCCCCCCCTCCCCCAGTCGACCCTGTCCACTCCCTTCCCCGCCCTGCCCCGACTGGTGTGTCTCACGTCACCCACCTACCGTCGGTTGTCCCTGCAGAGGAGTCCGCTGACTCTCACGGCTTGGCGGTGTCTCTTCTCCTGCCTGTCCCTGCCCCGGTCTTGCCTCCCCTGTCGCCGCCACTACTGTCCCCGCCGCAGCGGCCTCCGTCGCTGCCGTCGCAGCCGCAGCCGCTGTCGACACCGCCGCTGGGGCTCGTGCGTTCTAGGGGTGCTGGGGAGCAGGCTAGAGCTGGTTCTGGAGCGGCCTCGGGGGGTGCTGGCGTGGGGCTTCTCGGAGGGAGCCGAGTTGTTGCTGGAGGTTCTGGTGTTGGAGTCGGGCAGTTGTCGCAGCTGTCACCGCCGGTGTCCGCTCTTTGTCTCCTCAGTCTCCCTTCCCCTGACCGCCTGTCGCTGCCTTCCCGGCTGCTGCTGCCTCCTCCTCTGCCGGTCCACGGCCCCGTGTTTCCTCCCCCAAACTCCTTTCCGGCTCGTATCCCTCCCCGTTCTCCTCTTGTGTCTCCTCCCCTCTCTCCTGACCCGACTCCTCTGTCTCACGCCTGGTCTCGTTGTCCGTCTCGTGCTCGTCCTACCTGCCCTGTTCCTCATTCTCACCCTATGTTGCTGCGCTCTCACGTGTCTTGTGCTCCTGCTCTCCTTACATCTCCTCCTCCCTCGTCGCTTGCTGTGGCCCCTCCTCCATTCTCGGACTTCCTCCGTGCTGCGCGTCCCCTTGTTCCTGGTGTCCTTGCCTCTCTCGTTACCGACCCGTCCGTTCCTGTCTCGAGTCTGTCGGCTCTTATCGCTGCTGTCACTGACTTTGCCGCTACCCACCACCTGGACTACGCCACCGCTCTGGTCTCTGACCCAGCCTGCCCTCCGACCGTCGGGGGTGTGGCTGCTCTTGGCAGTGACGTCCTAGAGGATAGGCAGTTCGAGCTCGCTTTCATGTCTGAGGCTGCTCCCCATCTCTCTTCCATGATACTAGACCCTGAGGGTGACCCAGACGCCCTCAACATCCCGACCCCTTGCACCTACGCTGAGGCCACCTTGGGACTTTGGGCGTCTCAGTGGATAGCTGCCATGGAGAAGGAGATGGCATCTTGGAGATCCACCGGTACCTTCGTCGACGCAGTTCCCACACCTAGGGTGAACGTAGTCGATGGCCGGTGGCTCTTCAAGGTGAAGCGCCCTCCTGGAGAGCTGCCTGTCTTCAAGGCGCGCTAAGTCGCTCGAGGCTTCAGTCAGCGTGAGGGGGTGGACTTCTTTCAGACCTTTGCCCCGACCCCGAAGATGACCACTCTTCGGGCGCTGCTACAAGTAGCAGCACAGCGTGACAACTAGCTGCACTCCCTCGACTTCTCCACAGCTTTTCTCCAGGGCAGTCTACACGAGCAGGTCTACCTGCAATGCCCCCTGGGCTTCTCCGGTACCTCCCCCCCTAGCACCGAGTGGCTCCTCCTGCGCCCCGTCTACGGCTTGCGACAGGTGCCCTGTGAGTGGCACGGCACGCTGTGTGCTACACTTGCTGACCTGCAGTTCTTCCCTTCGTCTGCAGATGCCCCGCTCTTTGTCTGTTCTGGCCGCACTCCGTTCTACATCCTTGTCTACGTAGACGATCTGGTCTTTGTTACTCAGACAAAGACGCACTGGCTGCCGTGAAGGCCGAGCTGCTGAGGAGACACACCTGCACTGACCTAGGAGAGCTGCGCCGCTACCTTGGCTTGCAGATCTCCAGGGACAGAGCAGCGCACACCATTACTCTCTCACATTCACACTTGGTGCGCCAGGTCCTTCAGAGGTTCGGCCTTCAGTTCTCTTCCGTACAGCCCACCCCTCTGTCAGTAGACCACAGACTCTCTGCCCTAGTCCCTGAGGAGGCTGTAGAGCCTAGTGCTCCCTACGCAGAGCTGGTGGGTTGCCTCATGTACCTGATGACTTGCACTCGTCCAGATCTCGCATACCCTCTCAGTATCTTGGCTCGCTTTGTGGCCCCAAGCAGACATCGACCACAGCACCGGTGGACAGCTAAGAGTGTTTTGCGTTATCTAGCAAGTACACCGGGCATGGGGCTAGTGCCGGGAGGACGCAGGCCAGTGGTCCTTACTGGGCACACAGACGCTTCTTGGGCAGACAACGCTCAGACCCTCAGGTCCTCGCAGGGCTTCTCCTTGGTTTAGGTGCTGTCTCGTGGAGAGCTACTGGCTCCTCGTCTGTTGCCCAGTCCAGCTGTGAGGCCGAGATCTACGTTGGTGCCATGGCGGCACAGGAGCTCCGCTGGCTGACCTTCTTGCTCACCGACTTGGGTGAGTGGCCTAGCTCTGCCCCGGTTCTATATGCTGACAACAGGGCAATGATCCTCCTGTGTCAGGAGCCACGACTTGAGGGCAGAGCGAAGCACATCCAGCTGCAGTACTTCCTCCAGCGCGAGCTGCAGCAGCGTCGCCTGGCTCGTGTAGTACACTTGGCCTTAGGTGCCAATACAGCTGATATCTTTACTAAGGCGCTTGCACCTAAAAATCATCAGCGGCACTGTGTACAGCTAGGTCTCGTTCCTTTAGCCTCTCACTTGCTAGGACCTTGATTGTGTACAGGCCTTAGATTTATTACCCTGACTGGCCTTGCGGCCTCTTCCTTAGTGGTTGGACTAGTAGTACCACCTTGGTCTTGCTCTTGCCTTGTTTGTACTTGTTTGACTGGTCTTTAGACCCCTGCCTCAGAGGCTGGACTAGTAGTGCCACCCTGAGCTGTTTCTTTCGTATCGGGCACTGCCCCTATCCAGTCTAGGTGGTGTGTCAAACATATATTGTATGTTTTTGTCGACTTGATAGGGTTGTGCCTTAGGGAGTACAACCCATTAGGTTATATTCCCTTGTATGCCTTGTTCTGGATATTCTTTCACTTGAACATGTACTTGTGTGTTGTACCCTCTAAGAGCATGCACCTATCTAGCCTACAACAACACATGCAAATATGTTTGACACACCCCCTAGGCTAGACAAGGGGCAGTGCTTGACAAGAGACACGCAACTCAGGGTGGCACTACTAGTCCAACCTCTGAGGCAAGGGTCAGAAGACCAATCAAAGGAGCACAAACTAGACAAGAGCAAACCAGGGCAGCACGACTAGTCCGGCAACTGGATCAGAAGCCACAAGGCTAGTAAGGAGAATATGTAAAAAGAAGTGGTACACAATCAAGGTCCTAGCAAGTGAGGAGCTACTGGAACCAGACCAAGTTGTACACATTGTCATGATACATGTTGGGATTGCCCTGGGTCCTCAAGGAAGGGTTAACGGTGCGGAGCCAGGGGGGTTATGGGCGCACTTACGTGCTACTTACTGTAACAAGCCATTTTAACTCAGTGGTTAGTGATTGAGTTCTGATATCCTTTTCGAGCTGGGTGACCATCTGGGTTCAATTCCCAGTGTGCACCGGAGAGGTGGCAGTGCTGCAGAGGCGCTTGTGTCTTCTGCCTACCCCAGCGAGGAGGGGTGTCATGATACACACAGGGATTGCCCATGGTCCTCGAGGAAGGGTTACAGGTGCAGAGCCTGGAGGGTTGTGGGCAAACTTACCCGCTACTTAGCAAGACCTTTTAACTCAGTGGTTAGTGACTGAGTTCTGATACACAGTGCCGCTGCTGATCTTTAGGCGCAAGCACTTTGGTAAAGATATCAGTTGTGTTGGCACCTGAGGCCAAGTGTACTACGCAGGCCTGGCGGCGGTGCTGTAGCTCGCGCAGGTGGAAGTACCATAGCTGGATGTGCTTCGCTCTACCCTCCAGTCAAGGCTCTTGACATTCTCTCCTAGCTCCTAAACCTCTGGCCATTTCATGGCCGCCTTCCTTCCTAGCTAACCTAGCTTCATAACACTTGTTTCCCTCTCTCTTCTAATCTCATCCTCTTCTCTCTCTAGCATAAAACCTCACGCCATTTCCATGGCTCCTCTCCTTATCTAGCTATCTTAACAAGGGCGTGTCGAGAGACCTGCTAGGGTTACCGTATTCCCCCGGATATACGCACCGCCGGCTAAAACGCACCATGGTGCGTATATCCGGAGGGGTGCCATATCGGAGGTGCCATCTATACGCACCCGTATAATCACAGGTTTCTGATCCCTATAAGCACCCCCCCCAAATAGCTTCGACTTCATGAATTAACAGTTCATTAAGACAACGTCACTTTGTAATTAGATGTAAAAAGTCACATCTATATTAGTCAACTTCTACAGTTAGATCATCTACCACTACCATGCTCTACAGCCTACACCTCGACTACCTGAACAGATGCATAGCCTCCAATTTCTATAAGCTTAGCCTCGTCTACCATGTTCTACAGTCGTCATGTCGTCCACGTGCACTCTCTTCTCCCTCCTCATCCTCGTCCTCCTCATCCTCCTCCTCCTCCTCCTCCTCCTCCTCCTCCTCCTCCTCCTCCTCCTCCTCCTCCTCCTCCTCCTCCTCCTCCTCCTCCTCCTCCTCCTCCTCCTCCTCCTCCTCAGCTGTGGTGGAGTTGTCCCCCGTGAATCCGTCGGCCCCGGTCTCATCGTTGACATCCACGGTGGCCTCCTTGGGGTCTCTCATGTGCCTCAGGCACAAGTAGTCTTCGGAGCCATCCAGGGCATTCGAGATGCCGCAGGTTTTGAATGCCTTCTGGATAAGGGCGGCAGGGACAGCCTTCCACGCCTTGGAGACCCATTTCAGGGTCTCCTCTGGTGGCGGCTTCCTCAGATTTCCTGAAGCAGACAAAGAACACACCATTAGTTTTTGGTGTGAAGATGGAGCATACCAAGCATAGCAACATTGAACAAGCTAACCTTAGGGGGTGAAGATGGTGCAGCCGACACGGTCGAACCACTCCTGGTAGTACGAGCAAAACAGCGCCTTGAAACTGCGGTTCCCGGCCACGTCGAGCGGTTGTATGACGGAGGTGCAGCCGGCAGGGATGATGCCGGGCACCACATGTAGCTTGCCGTAGAAGTCCTTCACTTCAGGGGTGAGATGACCGCGATAGGAATCCAAGATGAGAAGAGCAGAGCGAGCACGGAGGCCGAAGTTGGGCTTAATGAACGGCTTGACCGCCTTCTCAAGCCACTCTATGACACCAGCGGAGTCCATCCATCCGTTTGGTTGGGCGGCTACCACGACATCTACATGGTCGGAATAGAATACGTTAGTAAAATCTTAAACATCATGGAAATGCATACACAAACAACTCGAAGCGCATGTATAAAGCTTACCAGGAGGGAAATTTCCCTTGGGTACGGTCGCGCGCTTGAAGAAGACCCACGGCTTGAGCTTCTCGCCTGTGGCCGTGCAAGCGAGCATCACTGTAACGCGTTCCTTGTGATAGCCCGCGGTTTTGATCGGCATCGAGTTCACACCGACTTGCTCCACGGACCGCTCTGCTAGCATCTCCAACCAGACCGGCATTTGGTCCGCGTTGATGATCCAGCGGTCGTCAATCGAGTAGCCCCTCCTCGCATCACGACAGAACTGCCAGAAGGAATCCACTTGTTCCTTGCACTCTGCGTTCACGTGCAAGAAATTCGACAAAATTAGCATTGAAACAAGTTTCAACAGTACCAGAATTAACATTCGAGGTTGCAAGGCAGAGGAAGCATATACGTGTCAGCCTTACCTTCGGTCATTTTCTGGCCGACCTTCGTGCGGGCTCGAACAGAGAGGCCCCATCATTTCCTAAAGCGAGTGCTCCATCGCTGTGAAGCCATCCACTTCACGTCAGGGTACATGGTCTTCATCAGCTCCCTCGACCACTTCTGCAGCTTCTTCACAGGTACAGGCGTCCCTTTCGCACTGTCTTTTAGGAACTTGTCATACACGAGAAGCTCCATGTCGTGGTACCAGCTGCGGCACCCATGGCCATGCAGTCGCTTGCGGCAAGAGGCAGCTTCTTTCAGCTTGTCCTCCGCGAGCTCCCACTCTCGAATTCGACGGCGCGAAATGCCCGACTCGCGCTGCACAGCTCGCCGGTTCCTGTCGAGCGCACGCCATCGCTCCAGCCAATACAGCTTCTCCTGAGAAGTGTACGCCCTTCGCTTGCGCTGTGTTATCCGTGATCTGGGGGAGGGAGGGCGGCTGTTGAAATTTGTTGTCGTTGGATGAGGGCGGCTCCGACCTTCGGGGAATGTTGGGATGGGCAGCTTCTCGGGCAGCCCGTCACGGTGCCAGTACTCCGCCTCCTCCTCATCCATTTCCTTCCGCTGGTCGCGCTCCGGCCAGTCGTCACCGTTGGGAATCCCCCAGTCGCGAGCGCGCGGGGATTCGAGAGCCTCCTCCTCGTCCGAGATGCTCTCCACGTCGCATCGGTCGGGCTGGGGCGGGAACGGGTCGCCGGGCACCAGTAATGTCAAAAAAGGAACTCCGTCGACCTCCGTCAAGGGCAACCGCAAAGACCATAGTCGCGAGCTCCCAGGAACGGAGGGCGGTGGAGGGGCCGGAGGTGCTGGCGGTGCAGGAGGAGCCGGGGGAGCGGGAGGAGCGGGAGGAGCGGGAGGAGCGAGCGGCGCGGGAGGAGCAGGGGGTGCAGCACGGAAACCACTAAATCTACTAACTCGGGCAGCAACTATGTCCTGTCTAGAGAGGCGTGTTGGTGTACCAAGGTTGCCGAATAGTACAGACATGGCTATGGGTGGAAGGCCAGCCATGGCGGCGGCCTGGCGAGAGAAGACGCATGAGGACGCTTGGTCGAGAAGGTACTGAAATAATGAAGCTTCAAACAGGGTGTTCCCCAATTCCTCAGCGGGGAATTCCTCTTCGTGCAGCCCATGACGGTGCACGAAGAGGATTCCTCTTCCTTTCCGAGCTGAGAGGGCACCGTCGTGGTAGCACAAAGCTGCAAGCAGATTCTTCTGGAGCTTCCAACTCGCCTTGCTGGATGCTGTCCGCTGGGCATGTGGCTGCAATTGGTGTTAAAATTATTTAAGTTATAATTTATAGGCTTGGTATACTAATACTGAATACTGCTGTAGAGGGTACAACACCCCTTCTTGTATGCCTCTGTCTTCTTTTCAATCTATCTTTCTTCTCGACATTTCTCCTCACTACTCACGTTCCTAGATCTACTTTCCTCCCACCATTCCATGGCGTCATTCCTAGCTAAGCTAGTGTCCTAACTTTAGGAACCTAGACTTCTAAGTTTCTGAGAATTGTATCAAACAGTGAAATTGATGAATAGAGAGAGAGAGTACACAAACATATACCTAACTGTTGTACTCTCTAGAAGATGACCCTATACAGTCTATACAAGCATGATAACTAAACATGTTTGACACACCCCCTGGACTGCATAGGGGAATGTTCTAGACAAGCAGCTCAGGGTGGCACTACTAGTCCAGCCTCTGAGACAAGGGTCTAAAAGACCAGTCAGAAGGAGTACAGGCAAGGCAAGAACTAGTACAGGGCGGCACTACTAGTCCAACCACTGTAAGAGGACACAAGTCCAGTCTGAGTGTACACACAGATATATAGGACAGTACAGAGTCAAGGCCCGAGTAAGTGAGAGACTACAGGAACCAGACCAAGCTGTACACAGTGCCGCTGATGATCTTTAGGCGCAAGCGCCTTCGTAAAGATATCAGCTGTGTTGGCACCGGAGGCTAAGTGTACTACGCGAGCCTGGCGACGCTGCTGTAGCTCACGCAGGAGGAAGTACCGCAGCTGGATGTGCTTCGCTCTGCCCTCGAGTCGAGGCTCCTGACACAGGAGGATCATGGCCCTGTTGTCAGCGTACAGGACCGGGGCAGAGCTAGGCCGCTCACCTAAGTCAGTGAGCAAGAAGGTCAGCCAGCGGAGCTCCTGTGCCGCCATGGCACCGGCGTAGATCTCGGCCTCACAGCTGGACTGGGCAACAGACGAAGAGCGGGTAGCTCTCCACGAGACAGCACCTGAACCAAGGCTAAAGCAGTAGCCCTGGGAAGACCTGAGCGTCTCGGCGTCGTCTGCCCAAGAAGCGTCAGTGTGTCCAGTAAGGACCACTGGCCTGCGTCCGCCTAGCACTAACCCCATGCCCGATGTACTAGCAAGATAACGCAAAACCCTCTTAGCGGCAGACCAGTGCTGAGGTCGGTGCCTGCCTGTGGCCACGAAACGAGCCAGGATGCTGAGAGGGTATGCGAGATCTGGGCGAGTGCAAGTCATCAGGTACATGAGGCAACCCACTAGCTCAGCGTAAGGACCACTGGGATCTACCGACTCCTCAGGAACTGGAGCGGAGAGTCTGTGGTCCAGAGGAAGAGGGGTGGGCTGTGCGGAGGAGAACTGAAGGCCGAACCTCTGAAGGACCTGGCGCACCAAGTGTGACTGAGTCAGGGTGATGGTGCGCGCGGCTCTGTCCCTGGAGATCTGCAAGCCAAGGTAACGGCGCAGCTCTCCAAGGTCAGTGCAGGTGTGTCTCTTCAGCAGCTCTGCCTTCACGGAGGCCAGTGCGTCCCTGTCAGCAGTGGCAAAGACCAGGTCGTCTACGTAGACGAGGATGTAGAACGGAGTCGAGCCAGCACGAACGAAGAGCGAGGGGTCTGCAGAGGACGGAAAGAACTGCAGGTCAGCAAGGGTAGCACGCAAAGTGTCGTGCCACTCACGAGGCGCCTGGCGCAGGCCGTAGACTGGCCGCCGCAGAAGCCACTGGGTCCCAGGGGGGAAGGTGCCAGTAAAGCCGTGAGGGCGACGCAGGTAGACCTGCTCGTGAAGGCTGCCCTGAAGAAAGGCAGTGGAGAAGTCGAGGGAGTGAAGCTCGTAGTCACGCTGAGCCGCTACGTGTAGCAGCACCCGAAGAGTAGTCATCTTCGGGGTAGGAGCGAAAGTCTGAAAGAAGTCCACCCCCTCGCGCTGACTGAAGCCTCTAGCCACGTAGCGCGCCTTGAACACAGGCGGCTCTCCAGGAGGGCGCTTCACCTTGAAGAGCCAACGGCCATCGACCACGTTCACCCCAGGTGGGGGAACTGCGTCGACGAAGGTGCCGGTGGATCTCCAAGATGCCATCTCCTGCTCCATGGCAGCTATCCACTGAGAGGCCCAGGGTCCCGAAACCGCCTCAGCGTAAGTACGAGGGGTCGGGATGTCGAAAGCGTCTGGGTCACCCTCAGGGACTAGCAGCATGGAACAGAGATGGGGAGCAGCCTCGGACAGGAAAGCAAGCTCAAACTGGCGGTCCTCCATGACGTCACTGCCGAGGGCAGGAGCACCCCCGACAGACGGAGGACAGGCAGGGTGAGAGACCAGAGCGGTGGCGTAGTCAAGGCGGCGGGTAGAGGCGAAGTCAGCGACCGCAGCGACGAGGGCGTCAAGACTCGACACGGGAACAGACGGGTCGGTAACGAGAGAGGCAAGGACCCGAGGAACAAGAGGACGAGCGGCACGAAAGGAGTCGGACAGAGGAGGAGACGCAACGACAAGAGAAGACGGAGGAGGAGACGGGAGGAGGGGAGGTCGAGACGCGTGGGAACGGAGCAACATAGGGTGAGAGCGCGGGACAGGGGAGACAGGACGAGCACGAGAGGGGCGGCGAGACCAGACGTGTGAGGGCGGCGTCGGGTCAGGAGACAGAGGAGGGGACACAGGAGGGGAACGAGGGGG